TTGGGACTAAAGACTAAAGCAGAGGTGTTGCCCTTCTTCAGGTTATGTCCAATGACCCACAAACACGTGAAGATGCTGAGGTAAAGAAGTAGGCAGACAGACCTGTTGACCCACTTCTGAGCACTGGGGACTCAGTTTCCTCCTAAGGCGAATCTCTCTTATTATGTCAAAGGAACAACACCCCCACTCGGGCCCATGCACAACCTCTAGTGTGCCACGATAAACACAAAGTCCCTTGGAGCATAGCAGAGGCTATGTGAACAGTCAATGAGTAACAAGAAGGAAGCCAAGGTCCCTTTTGAGCTGACCTCAAGGTAAGCCAGCTCTACCAACTTGAGAAATAAGACCCAAATGAATAAAAGTAATTCCAGTGAGATCTCAAAGCAGAAATCAGATGGGTAAGGTACTGTGAATGAAAAAAGTACTTTAAAACTTATTTTACTCTTGTGCCAATTTATGTTAGTATAATGATTTCTTTCATCCCATTTATTCCCTTCCTTTAAAGAAAAAACCAGTTTACATTCGTAGGTCTGTCTATAATAAATATATAAAGGCAAAAATAAAATATGTAAAAAAATCAACCCAAGTCTGCTTTATTAGACTGTAGTTCACACAACTACATAGAAGCAAGCTGGACTTGGCTTACATTCTTGGCAGTTAGTGGCTGAACTCCAGCCTTGAGCTAGATAGGCAAGGCTTTACCATTGACCATACCACTAGCCCTTGGCTTTTAAATTCTTAAATGTTAGTTTTTACTTCCTCAATATATGAACCTTATTTTCTTGGAAACTGATGTTCATCAGTAAATTAAGCATATTTGGCACTCTTTAAGAAAAAAATAGAACAGAGCTAGAGGGACCCAAGACATGCTCACCAGCAAGCGGGTGGCACTCAGGCAACCAAACCACCCAGGCTATCTGCAGTTGTTTATTCCAGTGCTAAAGATCAACACCAGGACCCGCTGTGTGCTAGGCAAGCACTCTACTGCTGACTCACCCCAGCCCCTACCTGCGGTCCATGTTTACCACGTTTTACCTCACTCTCCTTTAAGAAGTTGGGATTTAGCAACTTTTTAAAATAGAAAGTCCCCAGGGAGAACAAAGTCTATTTTCTGTCTCTGTTTTTGAGTCCAAGGAACTTCTGAGTAGACTCATGAGGTTCAGAGACAAGGACAGAAGCAGGGGAGCCTCAGTGCATGACCCAGGCCACACAGTAGCTTGCTAGGCCAGCAGTTCCTAGTGACCAGCACCAACAGAGCTCAGGGACAGCTGAGGACCTTAGCAGCACCTGGCCAGAGTGATAGGGAGGTAGTGGCCCTTACCTCCTGCTCAGGGGGCAGCGCACACTGATGCACGATGTACTCTACCATCACCTTGCCTCCAGGCTGCTCCAGGTAGCCATGGTGGGCCATGGCACTGATCACCTGCACCACAGCTCGTTTTACCTGCCCAGAACCAATGGAGGTTAAAGGGAATGCAGATGAGTCCCACCACGCCAATCCAGCGAGCAGACAGGATCCTCACTCCTTTCCCCAGCCATACCTGTGCTGCACACCCACCTATACCTGTGCTGCACATCCACCTGTCCCTGTGCCCGAACCTGCACCTGTACCTGCCTTCTACTCAATCCCTTGGCTGTACAGAGGCTTCCTTAGCTCCCTGCCAGCTGCCTTCTGGCCAGCTTGTGGATGCACAGGCCCATGGGGCAAGGCCTCTTTCTCTCCTGTCCTCTACAACTCCCTCCCTTCCTCTCAGACCCTCAGAAGTCAACTTGTCTTACTAGTGTCCTTCCTTTATCCCCTTCCATCAAACTTGACCCCAAGTCCATGCAAGCAGCTCTGCTGAAAGCCCTCCCCAAACCTACCCTCTGGGCTTCTGCACATGGTTGCCACATATCCTGGCACCACACTCATGGCCTCTTGATGACAAAAACGCTCATCCCTTCCGCCCAGTGTCTGGCTGAAACCAGCCATCCCCATCCCAGAGCTGGCACCTCCTTCAGCCCTCTCACTCCCCACACAGACAATAGCCTCTGTCCCTGGCCTTAGCCATTTTCACATGCCCAACACCCAGGGTCTTTCTTTTCTATCCTGAGCATGCCTCTGCTCTCTGAGATCTCAGGTCAAAAATTTCTGCCCAAAGGAGGCTTCTTTGGACCCCTCCCACACATATGGCATGACATCTATGGGAACAGGTGGGTCTGGACTAGCAGTTGACTGCCAAAGCTAAGCATGTATCTGCCCACTTGGCATTGCAGGCATCACACCATCCGGGCACATGTGATGAGCTGAAGAGTTCTGCAGAAGATAGTGATTGGTGCCCAAGTAGTCTAGGGCCCTGAAGGACCCGCCTTGCCCAAATAAGGATCTGACCCTGTCCTGGGCTCCTGGAAGATCATCTCTAAGCTTTTGGGATATTATACCTGGTAAGAATGTCCACCAACCTGAGCCCACAGGTCCTCTACATGGTTATATGATTCAGGTGGTGGCTTTGGATCATTTGGCATCAATCCCAGCTCCAGAGGGACTAAAAGCTGAATGCAAACATGTGGGTGGCTAGGAGGATCCACATGACAGGCCTTAGTAAAGGCTCAGGCCAATAAGGCTGAGGAGACCCTGGTTGGCAATGTGCCCTGTGTGTTTTCCACACATCTTGCTGGGGTTAGTACTGGCCTCCCCCCACTGAAGAGTAAGGGTTTAGATCCTCCTAGATTCTGTCCTTTGGGCTCTTCCCCAGCTGATTTTTTTTTTTTTTTTTTTGAGACAGGATTTCAAACTAGCCTTGAACTTGTGATGCTCCTGTCTCTGCCTCCCACGTACTGGGACTAGAGACATGTACCACCACACCCAGCTCCCTAGCTGTTTTTAACCAGAATCTTGTAGCCAGTTTCTCTGAATCCTTCTAGTGAATGGCTGACCCTGAAGGTGGTACTGGGGAGCCCTGGGCCTAATGGACACAAGCTGTAAGGTAGTCTTAGAGACTGTCACTAACATCATGCCTGGTTACATCAGTCATGATGGGGGAAGGTGTTTTGTTCACAAAAGTACCTGCATCTCCCTGTGCTCCCACCTAGTACCTAGTGGGGTGGAGTGCTTCTAGTCCTCCCTGGCCACTCTCCTTGTGGCTGCTCATGGTGGTCCTGGGCTGAACTATTCAGCTTACCTTGTTGTTGGTGTCCAGAAGAGGAAGTCTCATGGAAGAGAGGATAAAGGGTTTCTTAACTTCCATTTGGGCAGCTGCAAGAAATAAACAAGATGGCTCAGTCCTCACTAAGTCCAGGACTGGTCATCCTGTCCTATCTACCAGAGATCCATACCTCTAAGGCTTTGGCCTCACCTAGCCCTCCATGTGGGAGGAGGACAGGGTATATTCAGCTCTAGAAGACAAATAGTTCCCCCTCAATAACATTGTTTTACTCAATTAAAAACTAAAAGGTTAGCAGTTAAGGGCAGTAGGTAAACCAACAGGCCTGCGTCAGGTAGATCGGGGTTCAAATACTGGGGAGTTACTCTGGTGGTTTTGTAACTGAAGGGCGTCAGGATCACCAGGCTTGTGAAATGGGACCTACCAGGTCTTGGGGGCATGAGTGTGCATTTCTCACATGCTCGGGGTAAGCTGATGCTGCTGGCCTGGGGACTCCTCTGGCTGAGAACCAACAACATAACACTTCACTTCCTGATTATTGTTATTTTGGTAGTACTAGGGTTTGAATTTAGGGCCTTGTGTTTGTTAGATGGGTGTTCTACCACTGCAGCCACACATCCATCCCCCATTTTCTGATATTTAAAAGAAGATAAAAATGGCCATTAAGTAGATACTAAGCCCCACATGTATGATCCTAGTCCTTGGGAGGCTGAGGCAGGAAGATCACAAGTTTGAAGAAGTGAGCCTGGCCTATAGAGCTAGACTGTTTCAAAAAAAAAAAAAAATGAAAAAAATGGTGTGGGATTAATAAAAAACAAACCGGATACTAGTACAATGCAGGCAGCATACTGCATGTGATACCTTTTCATTCTTTCATTCTGTAGACAGCTCTGGGAGAAAGATGTCATCCTGATCCCAGCCCCCAGGGCAGCAAAAGGCATATCCAGAGGTGGAGGATTCAGGTCTGGAGCTCAGACTCAGCTCCGCCCCTGGCCCCACCCCAGCAGATCCCACCACCCCTCTTCCCAGGAAGCTGCCAGAACAAAGCCTGGTGAGGGCCCTGGGGAAGTAACATAGAGATGTACCCCATACAAACTCAGAAAATACAGATTCTACACTTAATCAGAGATAGCCTAACAATAGCTTTTAGAAGATGATGTTGAAGAATTGAGAAGTATGGAGACACAAGAGAAGATGGCAGGAAAAGATGGCAGAAGAGTGTGCTGACATGTAGAGCTATTAATGGAGACAGTGTAAAGAGAACCAGACACAGCAGCCAGGTGAACAAGATAAACATGACACATGAGCAAAGCACCTGAGAATTCCAAGTCGGTATGAAAAGGCAGACATATCAACAGAAAAACAAGCAAAAGACATGAACAACCCAGCAGAAGGCCACTAGGCTCCATCATGGTCAGGGTGACAGGACAGCTGTCCAACTGAAATTCAAGAAGGCAGAAGCAGAGCCAGTGCAAAAGAATGGGATTTGGGACAGCCACACATGAAGAGGCTGCAGAACCTGGCCAAGTCTTGGAAACGACTCAGCATAGACTAAGGGGGCAGAGGAGGCACACGCAAAACCCAGCAAGCCCTGCCTAAGGATGGCAGCCCGACTGTCTATCATACTGAAGGAGCAACTGTTGCATGCTGGTGCTGGGCTATGGAACACTGGTACCACAGCATGGTAGCCAGACAAATGCAGAAAACATCAAATCAGATAAAGAAGCAAAATACAAAAGAAAACAGAAATAGGCAAGACCACAAGAGACCACAGAGGGGTGCTGGTAGAGTCGTTCAAATGGTAGAGCCCCTACCTAGCAAGTATGAAGCCCTAAGTTCAAACCCCAGTATTGCCAAAAAAAAAAAAAAAAAAAGAGAGCAACCACACAGGGACTCACAAAGGTGGTCAGACTAGGATAGTAAGGTGTGGCCCCATGAGAGCCACTGAGGAGGACATGGAAGGTCAGCAGTAGCACAATCTCCCAATCTCATACCTGTTTTGTGAGCTCTCCAGCTTGTGCCTTATCTCCCAGTAAGGTTAAAAAAGATACAGAACACAAATAACTCAACAGAAAAATGGACATAAATCATGTGCAGGTGCCTCTTGAAGAGCACACAAGGGACACCAGGGGCACAGGACCAGGCTTGGTAGGTCCCTCTCACAGGGACAGATAAGGCTGGGGCTTGGCCAAGGGATCCATCAACCCATGTTCCTGAGGTTCAAAACAATAGCCATCTTGCTACCCATGTGATGATGTTTAACATGTACTGTGTTTGATGTGCAATCTTTTATTACTTCAAGTGGGTCAAGGCCAACTACCTGCCAAGTCCTCTATGGAGTGCTGAGCTCATGAAACAGAACAAGCCCTCCATGGCTTAGGTTCTCATGGGAGAAAGAGAAGAACAAATGGATGGTACCTAAGGCCAGGGAGACTGAGACAGACTGACAATGAGCAGCAAGTCTGCTGGAGAACATGACCAGGGCCAGGAGAAGGTGGTCAGCATTGGGGCCATCTAGAAGAGTGTACTGGAGCTAAGACCAAAAGAAAAGGAAGTTCTGGCCAAGCAGAGCACAGTGAAGAGCTTTGGGAGGGAGGGGCTTCCTGATGTGACTGATAAGAGGGAAGCCCCAAGGTTGGAGGGTGGCAGGGGACAATGGCAGCAGCACAGAGGCTTCAGGGAGGAGCAGGAATAGCCAACACCAGAAGATACTGGTGAAGTTACTAGACTTTAAAGAAAGAGTCCTTTGGATATCTGAAAACAAAAATAAATTATGGTGCACACCTGTGATCCCAGCACTTGGGAGTCTGAGGCAGAAGGTTTGCAAGTTCAAGGCTAGCCTGAGTTACTTAGTGAGACTTTGTCTCTAAAACACTCACACACACACACACATACACAAACATACACACACCTCCCAAAACTTGAAAATAAAGAACAGAAAATTAGACTATCATCAGACTTGGACAGCAACACTTTAGGTCAGAAAAGAGCTGCCAGATAAAACACAGAACACCTTGTTAAATTTGAATTTAAGATAAACAACTGATTTTTTTAGTACAAGAATGCCTCATACAGCCAGGTATCAGTGGCTCATGCCTGTAATCCTAGCTACTCAGGAGGCAGAGGTCAGGAGGATCATGGTTTAAAGCCAGCCCTGTGCAAATACTTTGCAAGACCCTATCTCAAAAACACCTAACACACACACTCACACAAAATGGGCTGGCAGAATGGCATGAACAGTAGGAGCACCTGCCTAGCAAGCATGAGACCCAGAATTCAAACCCCAGTACCACCTTAAAAAAAAAAAAAAGAATGCCTTATATTTGGGATAGTGTTTGTTCCTGCTAAATCTAGCAAGTGCATGCCAACAGAAAATGGAATGGCATAACTAAAGATATTCACAGAAGCATGAGCCAAGAAGTTTACAATCAGCAAAAGTGGCCATTAACAAAGACACAAATAAACTATGATCAACAAGCAGGAACCTGAGGAGTGCTGTTCCCATGGGGCCTCCTCAAAAACCAGCTTTGGGCATGCAGATGAGCAGAGACAGCAAGATACACATTCCCCACAGAACAAGACCAGCGTAAGGCCAGGGCGCAAAGGCCATGGCCCGACAACACAGATCCAAGTCACTTGTGGGTGCTGTGTGTGTGACATGGGATAAAGACAGGTAATTACAGCACAGGACAGGACAGGACAAGGTTGGTAATTCTACCAACCTTGAGAACCAGGAAAATTACAAGGGAATAAAAGAGTGGAGAGGAGTTTGTCATTTAAAACAGACTTAAATAAGGGGAGATGTTGCCACATGAGGATAGATCTTCAGTTCTGCAGATGGATAGTGGCGATGGCTGCACAATGGGATGTGCTCAGCGCTGCTGCACTGCACACTTGACAATGGCTCAAACGGTCAATTTTGTGTTGTGTGTGTTCTAGCATAATTAAAAACAAACCAACAAAACAATCGAAGGCAAATCTCTTCATGTGTGTATGTATATATATTATTTATATATAAACATAAATTTAACTTACATGTGAGCTTTTAGAAAGTGGGCACAGCTTGACTAAGGCATTTTAGGGATGCAGGTTGAGATGATAAAGTGGTCACTGAAAATCTAGGCAGCTGCTGCTCATTTTGGGGGAGAAGGGACTCTGTGGGGCAAGTTCAACTCAGAAGACCCAGAGATAGACACAAAGGCATTCACCTAATGATTTGTAAAGCCACACGTTTTTATGTAGTTTCTGCATGTGATTTCCTTTACAGTAAAAAGATTTTATAAGCCAGGCATGGTGGTACATGCCAGTAATCCTAGCCATGCTTGAGGCGGAGGCAGGTGTATCTTCAGATAGAGGCCATCTCAGGTAAAGATAGCAAAACTGTCTCAAAAACATATACAAGGCTAGGCATGGTAGCTCACATGTGCAATCCCAGCTACTCAGGAGATTGGGAGGACTGCAGTTCAAGGCCAGCCCAGACAAAAAGGAAGACCCCAACTCAACTAAGAAGTTGAGCATGGTGGTGCACCTCTGTGATCCCAGCTATGCAGAAGGAGTAAATAGGAGAATCAAAAACACAAGACCCAAACCAAAAAAATAACTAAAAGCAAAAGGGGTGGTGGTGAGGAGGGGGGGCATGGCTCAAGTGGTAGAGTATCTACCAAACCCCAGGGCTTACCAAAAAAAAGATAAAGAAAATATACTCTCCCAGATTTAAAGACTTACAATAAGAATTAAGAAGAATAAGGAGACCAGTGGGACAGAATGGAATCCTGAAATATACCCACTAATAAATAATGTTCAAGCTCAATTTCCTCCTCCCTAGTCAAAGTTCTCTATTGAAGTCCTAACCCAAGACCTTGGAATGCAACCTTATTTGGAAACGAGGTCATTGCAGTAATGCTCAAAGCTGCTTGTGAGGTGTAAGGTGTGGGACATAAACGGTTACTTTGGAAAATAATGTTTTCACCTACTGATGTTGGACATATGTATACTTTATAGCCTGAAATTCTGTTCCTGGGTACACAACCAACCAAATGTCCACAGGAAAAAAGAGAAAAGTCCCAGAGTGCACTTATCCATAACCAGTAGAGTAGACTGACTCACTGCCATAATGCAGAGGTGAGCTGAGTGAGCTATACATACGTATGCTCTTCACAGAGATGACCCTGGTGAGCTACACACAGTGTGCACTTCACCAACAGCAGAGAGAGGGTAAGAAGCCAGACACACATTGCCTCACACCATGCAATTCTCTTTACACAACATGCAAAAACAGCAACATTCTTCTGTGCTGAAGTCACAGTCTAAAGTGCCTAACAGGTGGCTCCTGAGTGTTCTGTGTCCTTGTTTGTGTTCTTTACCTGGGTGGTGAACACATAGACCCATTGTGCAACAGCTCACTGTGCAGAACAATTGAAACCTGTGCCCTTTTCCTCTGCATGAGCTTTACTTCAAAATAAAAATCTTAAAATGGGGCTGGGATACGGTTCAAGTGGTGGCGCTCCTGCTTAGCAAGTGCAAGGCCCTGAGTTCAAACTCCAGTACCACACAAAAAAAAATTAAAAGTGACATAGATTAGTGTGTACTAACACTAAAAGTTCCCTGAGACGTGCTACAGAGAGAAAAAAGCATGTCTTAGCCTCTCATTAGGTTAAGAAAAATTCTACTTCTTGCATAGACACTTCTATATGCAAATGCACAGAAGAACAGGAAGGAAAAAATGAAATACAGGTGAACATGGTGTGACTTCCGAGAAGTATGAACATAAAGCCAGGAGCTGGTAGCTCACGCCTGCAATCCTAGCTACTCAGGAAGCAGAGATCAGGAGGATTGCAGCTTGAAACCAGCCTGTGCAAATAGTTCAAGAGACCCTATCTCAAAAAAAACCCTTCACAAAAAAAGGGCTGGTGGAGTGGCTCTGGTGTAGGCCCTGAGTTCAAGCCCTAGTACTGAAAAAAAAAAAAAAACAGAACTGACATAGGACTGGCAAACCTGGTTAGTTTCCTACCACTGCTGAACTTCTGAAAGGGAAAAATCATGCCTAACAAAAACCTCAGCACCAAGAGGTCTATGAGAATTTCATTTCTGGTGCCTTGGGCAGTGGCCACATGAGCCCCAGAAGGGGGCTCTCCCTTTCTCAACCTCATATCCTAATGCTATCCAATGTGGTTCATGATCACCACTTTCTGACCCCTGTAAGAGGACATGATATATAAACCCACATGAAAAATGTGATCACATTTTTCAAGTTTGTTGCCTTAAAAGCGGAACACCTAAGGCTGGTGCATGGCTCAGTGACAGAAACTTGCCCAGCATGCACAAGGCCCTAGGTTTGATCCCCTGCAACACACACACATCAAAGAGCAGGATGCTACTTCTCACCTGAAAGATGGATGACAACAGCCTTTCCTGGCACTATCCCACACAAGATGTGGCATGCATGGGTGGCCAACCCGAGGACGCGAAGGGCACTTACCAGCTGAGTTGATGATGTGCCTCAGGATCTGCAGGGTGCCCACCCGGAGCCTCTCATTGCTGGTGTCCAGCCTGGGCAGCAAGAAGGCCAGCAGACGGTCAGGCGAGCAGCAAGCTACAGAGTAACACATGTGAGGCATGTTTTTTTTTTCCCCACTTCGGCACTGGGGGTTTGAACTTCAGGGCCTCCTGAGTTAGGCAAGCACCACTCCACCAGCCGTTTTTTTTTTTTTTTTTTTTTTTTTGCAGGACTGAGGTTTGAACTCAGGGCTTGGCACTTGCAAGGCAGGTACTCTACCACTTGAGCCACACCTCCAGTCCTGTGTTGGGTATTTTCAAGGTAGGGTTCCCAAACTATTTGTCTGGGCTGGTTTTGAACGGTGGTCCTCCTGATCTCTGCCTCCTGAGCAGCTAGGATTACAGGTGCAGGTATGGTGTTTAACAGTCTCTGCTTTGCTCCTTGCTCCATGCCTGCACCTCAAGCTCATCAGGGCCAGGTTTTCTGTCTTGGTCACCCTGTACACAGAGCTTCCCAGCACCAAAGAGGAGCAAAGACTTGATGTGGGGACCATAGAAAATTAGAACTCTCTAGAAACCAGCCCTGATGCCTTCTCAGGGTGCCCATCAGAGGTGAGGGGTTAGAGCAGAGGTGCCCTTGCCCCAAAGAGGTCAGCACTACCCAGAGCACATACAACTCAGATCCAAGGCCTACTAGGATTCATGTGCTCACCTCGGCTTCATAAGGAGCCCACAAGGGGACCCTCAGTGCCACTCCTGCCTGTGGGCTGATCTACAAGTAGGAAAACAACACCTAAGCACTTGGATCCCCAGCCTGTGCAGAGTTAAAACAGCCAGGTTTGAACTGTGAGTGATACCAATGGGAACCTTCAGCAAAGACCCTGGCAGGTTCTTTTACCTTTCTGAACCAGTCATCAACAGAAAAGGTCAGTCTGGGTGCCTGTCAGACCTGCTGTCCTCCCACTCCCCATCCAGAGCCAGCTGAGACAGTCTCCCAGGCTCCCCTCCCTCTATGACCCAGCTGTATGCTGAAGCTGCTGGTCCTGAGCAGCTAGCAGGTCACACATCTCTACCTGCCCCTAAGGGTGACAAGCAGGCCCTGAGCAAGTGTAGGTGCCAAGGACAGGGCTGAAAGACCAGGCCTCTGCTGTCCAAAACCACTAGGCTCCAGTAGGGGCAGTGACAGATGATGGTACCTCTAGCTGGGGTCAGGTAAGAACAGAATGATGTCCAGGGCCAAGCAGCCACAAGCTGACCAGCAACAAGAATGACAGGTGCAAAGGAGCCAGCTATGGATGAGGGGCAGGGATGGAGCATGGAGACTGAGGTAGAAGTCTCTGGAAGGACAGGAGCAGGGACATCACATGTGTGCACAGGGAGATTGGGTGTGTGGAGCTGTGGCTGCAGGCAGGCCTGGGCCCCTGGAGCCTCAGAAAGAAGTAGAAAAAAGAGACCTCCCCAATCATGCACAGCCACCACCATCCTCTACACACAAGAAGGTGACTGGCCAGAGTACAACCCCCTGAAGGCCTTCATGTGTGTAGACCAGCGCTGCTACTCACCCAGCACAGTGAAGCAGCGCAGCACCTCTTTCTGGCTGCTCATCACCAGGGGGCTTGAGGACTCCACAGGAACACAAATCTGCGCCAGGGAACAGGACAGAGGTAATGGGGGCATGGCCGGGCTGGAAGGACACGTATCCCCTGAAGACACTAGCCTAAGCAGCTGGGCCCAGAGGTTTGGGAAGGTGACTCTCCAGTCCTTCCTCACCTGGGAGCAGGGATGCCCAGGCCCTGGCTGCAGGACATATATGCCATTCACCAGAGATGCTTCAAAGTTCAACCTCAACCCCTGGTAGCTGGGAGAGGAGAAGGAGAAAGCATCACATGGACACATGGCTGGCCCTCAAGTCTCAAGGAAAATGACCTTCCCTCCTATCAGCAGAAAGACAACAAACCCCAAATGACAGTGCAGTAGAAAAGGGAGCTTCCCATTCCCCGGGGCACATGTTCCTAGGTCACAGAAAACCACTCATCTCTAGAAAAAAAGCACTGGAAACAAAACAGCTAGAGTCCATTTGTTCAAAATTGTAAACAGAAAGAAAGGAAAAGAAAAAAGTTGCATTAGTTAAAAAGTAAAAATGAACCGGGGGCCACAGGCTCATGCCTATAACCCTAGCTACTCAGGAGGCTGAGATTAGGAGGGATCATGGTATGAAGCCAGTCAGTGCAAATAGTTCATGAGACCCTATTTCAAAAAAACCCAACACAAAAAAAGGGCTGGTGGAGTGGCTCAAGTAGTAGAGCCACTTGGGTAGCAAGTGTGAGGCTCTCAGTTCAAGCCCCAGTACCAAAAACAAAGTAAAAACGAGCTGGGATATGGCTCAGTGGTAGAGTGCTTGTCAGTTGTCGGCTAAGCATGGCGAAGGAAGGGATGGAGGGAGGAGGGCAACAATGTAAAACCTAAAAAAGCTTCTGGGGCAACGGCGAAGGGTGCAAATTCCAGTGTGATATATGTGATATATTGTAAGAACTTTTGTAAATGCCACAATGGGCCCCACCCAGCACAATAGAAAAGAAAAACTTCTGAGGCTCCCAGGTCCACAATGCCTCCTGCTGATGTACCACCCCCCAACCCCCACTAACCCAGGTGTGAGCTCCAGGTAGGACATCCCAGGTCCTCACTCACCTTCTCTGTGTCACAGCAAAGGACACTATTAGAGCCTCTGAATGAAGGAGACCCAACCATATGAACCATAACAGACAGTCAACACTCCAGAGCCACAGGCTACACCCTCAAGAGAACAATGGCAGTTCCTCGAGAACTGTGGGGTGCTGGCCTGGCAATGTTTGGGGTTCCCAGGTAGCTCTCAGCTATCTCATCATAACAGGTTCTGTGGTTCCCTCTGCTCCTGCAGATACAGCATTCTACAGGAGGCTGGCCACCCCTGACCTGAGGATGCCCAGAACCCTGTGGAGAGACCCAGTGAGAGGCACTGAGGCCTTTGGCCCACAGCCACGGAGTGAACCCTTCGGGAAGCAAGTCCTCCAGCCCAGCAGAGCCTTCAGACAGCCCTGGCTGCTAGTGTGACTGCAGCCCTGAAGCAGACAGAGACAGAAGCAGCTAGTGGAGCCACTCTTGCATCCGTAACCACAGCAACTGCAGGATAATCCAGGAATGTTGTTTCAGGAGCATGTTCTGTAGTGACCACATTCAGCAATAAAACTAATGTGACATAGTCACTCAGAAAAAACCCCACAAATCTAGATTCCCACTCACTCCTCTAAATTAAAGTCCAGATGGATTAACATACAGGGGAAAGTAGGAGAATCTGGAACATAATTGCTGAACTTGGGAGGCTTTTCTCTGCATAACAAACCTCAGCCATAACATAAAAGACAGACAAACGATGGTGTAAGAATCTAACAATCCTGCATTATAGAGTCAAAAGATAATGTAGACTGGTAGAGTGTCTGCCTAGCAAGCATAAGGCCTTGAGTTTTAATGATGAATAAATACCATCAAAAGCCGTTTGTGCATGGACTGAAGTCAGATAACATTGTCCTGTGGACCATCAGTGTGATGACTGATGCATATCCACAGCTGCGCTGAGTCCTACTCTGTGAAGTGTTCTGATTGATGTGGCATTGGACTCTGCAAGCTGCTTCTTCGTAGAAGATAGAAGACTCTCACCTCCAACTCCTGATCACACATCTGCACTTTCATGTGTGGGACCTGATTTGCAATCAAGGCTGACCTTATAGATGAACTAGGCAGCTCAGGATCTTTTTCTAATTTCAAAAACAACTTGTACAGGACAGAAATTGTTCCTCAAAAGTTTGGTAGAATTCAGAGCTGGGTATGTTGGTACACATCTATAATCCCACCTACATGGGGGGTAGAGGCAAGAGGATCCCGACTTTGAGGTTAGCCAGGGCAAGGTTAGTGAGACCCTATCTCAAAACAAAAACACAAACAAAAGGGCTGGTGGTGGTAGGGTATGAGTAGCTCATGTAGTACAGCACTAGCTCAATCCACAGTACTGAGAAAAAAAATTTTTGGTACAATTCAGCATTAAAACCACTTAGGCTCTGGGTTTGTTTTAAGGAAAGTCTTGGGATATTATCACCATTTCTTTATTGGCTTATTCAAATTCTCCATTTCTTCTTCTAATTGTGTGTGATTGTGTGTGTGTGTGTGTGTGTGTGTGTGTGGTGGTGGTGGTGGTGGTGGGTGGTGGTGGTGGTGGTGGTGATGGTGGTACTGGGGCTTGAACTCAAGACCTCATATTTGCTAGGCAGGCACTCCTAGGCACTTGAACCATTCCCCGAGCCCTTTTTTGTATTGAGTTTTTTTGAGATAGAGTCTCACGAACTGTTTCCCTGGGCTGGCTTCAAACCATGACCCTCCTGATCTCTCCCTCCTGAGCAGCTAGGATTACAGGCGTGAGCCACTGGTGCCCAGCCTTCTCCTAACAATTCTGACATTTTATATTTTCTAAGAATCTATCCATTTTATACAGTTTTAAAGCCACCACTACAATTTCTTAAAATACTTGTGTTTTTAAATATCTGTTGTAGCCCTCTCCCTTCCTGTCCCTGAGACCAGGGATGTGTTTACCATGCTGGGCCAGGAGTGTGGGAAACAAAGTGGTAAAATGGGGGCCCCACCAATGAGGGAGCTTAGCAGAAAATATAGCAAGGACTGGAATCTATACTGCTTCTCTCATGAAGTGTCCTTGAGCACCCTCTTCCATCTTCCTGCCTCCCTTCTCTCTCACCCAGAAAGTTCCATGGACTCCTGTCCCTACTACTGGGCCATGAGTGGCTTCTAAACACTGCATCAAACAGCCATTCTCAGCCCTTCCCTTGGAGTACTTCCTACAGTGGAGTCTTCCAAACACCACCCACTCCAAATCCCTAAAACCCCCTCTGCTGGTTGTGGCTCACCGTATCCCCAGGCCTCTCTCTCAGCCCTCTTGCTCAGACCCTCAGGGGTCCTTTCAGGCTTCTCCCAACCATTGCTACCCAATGGCCATGATGAACTCACTTGAGACCTCCTGAGCCAGCCCTCAGCACCACACTCAGCCCTCACAGCCACTTGCTTCTGCCACCTCCATCCTGGGACTATGCCACCTATATGGGTCACTCCTGGTCTGGATGAGGCCGTATCACTGAAACCTACAACCATTCTTACAGAAGCCTACTCCAAGGCTTCATGTGAGTGAACCCCCCTCCCCAAAATCATGCTCCCTCCTCCCCTCATCAGGCGTCTTGCCCTGCGGGGTCCAGCCCTGTAGCACCTGGACCCATCTCTATGCCCAATGCAGCTGTCTGCCCAAGTTCCTTTTCCCCAGCCTACCTGAGCATGCAGAGCCACCAAGAGGGAGTCAAGCTGAACCTCCAGGGTACGGCTGCCAACACTCACAGCTGCCTCGAGGATCTGACCCAGGCTCTGCTTGGACAGGGAGGAGAGGGCTCAGTCCATCTCCCGCCTCCTAGGAGTGATTATGGGGTCAAATGGAGCATTTGGGCCACAGGAAGAGGCCCAGGAGGCCTGGACCTCACCTTGGGATTTAAATGGAGAGGCTCTAACACCCTCCAGAATTTGAGGGAAGGAGGAAAGAGTATTCCTGGATCAGCAAGCAAAGTAGCAGGTCCCTGGGCTCCTATTCAGTGCAGAAGCCCAACCCCTACAACCCACCACCGAATCCTGTCTCAGGGCTGCCCCGACACATCTGATCTGAGGGGTCCTCAGGCTGCTGTGCCCTTCATGCCTGCAGACACCTTGGATACTTGGAAGGTCTCCGCATGCTTCTTATAGAGGCTGAGGACTCCTGGGAGGAGCTTGGGGAGCTGCTCCTCCAGCTTCTCACTGGGCAGTAGGTGGCTCATGGGCCCAAGAGCTGCCACCACTGCGAGCCGGAGCTGAGGAGACAGGACAGGCCTTACATTTAAAGAGGAAACACCAGGGCACCAGTGGGTCCCAACAGGGATGGGAGGGGAGCCCAGTGGCTGGGGTGACCTGGAAAGGGCTGGACAATAGCCAGGAGAGGGGACAAATAAGAGGAAGTCAGTGCTACCCCAGGCCCTAAAGGAGCCTCAGGGCAGAGAAGGAGTGGGATCAGAGCAGAGCCACAATGACTGGACTTCAGGACCACATAATCCAGAGAACAGAACAAGCTCTACAGCAGGCTGGCGCCAGTCACAGGTGTGGGGGATGTGTGTAAGACACTACTCAGGTATGGGATCATGCAGGTGAGGCCCTGCTCAGGTGTGGGGACCTGCAGTTGAGGCCCTTCATCACCTTCTGAGCACCAGCTATGGGCAGGGTACTAGGCAAAGGACAGTCCCCTGCAGCAGGCATAGACAGGTGACTTGGCCCACCTTCCCCACCTCAGAACCTCTGCTGACAGAACAGAGGTGGAGCATAGCCTGATATGGCCCTCACAGCTTGGGCCAGGCCTGGGGTGGGAGGGGCAGCCAGGTCAACCCCAGGCTCCTGGCTCCTAGTGGGCACAGCTATACCTTGGCATCTCGGCTCTGCAGCCAGTGATGAAAAAGAACATCGTAGGCACTGAAGATGTCAGTGGCAAAGGCATCTCTCCTGACTGTGGGGTCCGGTGCTTGGTCCAGGTTGGCCAGGTACTCCAGGGTGCTCTCGCTGAAGTGCTGCAGAGCTGTAATGGCCCACAGGGAGTGACCATAGGCACAGGCCGTCCTGACTCCCCATGGCTACCCATGGAAATCCCAAAACAGCCTGCACAGTGACCACACTAGCACCCTGGCCAAGCAGTGACTACACTAGGATAGTCCTTCCTAGAACCTCAGATTATGACCTTATGTGGAAACAGGGTGGTTGCAGGTGTAACTTAGGATGAGGCTACATAAGAGGGGTGGCCCTAAACTCCACAAGATAGTGTTCTGTGAGAAAAAAAGATGGGGAGAAAAGTGCAATGTGCAATAGAGTCAGAGACTGGAAGATGTGCCAAAGACAAGGGCACCAAGGATCAATACCCACCACAAGAAGAGGGAAGAGGCCAGGGATGGTGATTCACACCTATAATCCCAGCTATGCAGGAAGTAGGAGGACCGCAGTTAGAGGCAGGCCCAGGCAAAAAGTGCAAGACCCTATCTTTCCAGGTGCCTATTAGTTGAGCACCAGCTCCATGGTCTTGCCTGCTAACCCCTTGTACTTCCTGTCCTGTTCCCACAACTCTGCATCTTGCCTCCGTTGCCAGGGGTTTCCTCAACTTCCTCTTCTCAGTCTTCTGGTGATGTTCTCCATTTCTTGCCTTTTTCAGTTCCATTCTCTGGACATGGCTTCCTCATAATGCCACGCTCTTGTTTCAGAAGCACTCTCCCCTTTTAACCTTCTGGGGATGTTAATCAGGGTCTTTTCTCTTGGCCATTTTCTCTTCCCTGAACTGTTATATATTCCCAGATTAGTTTCTGTTTATTTTGCTGCCACCTTTCCTATCAGATGTCCCTCAGATGGCTGGAATAATCAAATGCCTGCCCTACAGAGCAGTGAGGTCAGTCTGGCTACTCCCTGGATGTCCAAAACCTTCCTCAGCTCCTCTCCAGCCTGGATCCTATTCTCCACACAGTGTCACCACCCTTAGCTGTATCCAGACCCCTCATGCCCAAAACCAAAGGTTACCTCTGCTCTTACTGCCCCACCCAAGCCTCATGCTGGTTCCTTGAGGACCCTACTGGCCTAAATGAGGCTGCTCCTGCCACAGAACCACTGTGTCCTCCAGCAGCAAGGACATAGGGAAAGCTCAATCTGACTGAGCCATGCAGCTGGCAGAAGGCATCCTAGAAATCCCTGCTGAGCCAGGCATGGTATTATATATTTGTTACCCCATTATTGAGGAGGGTAAAGCAGGAGGATATGAGTTTCAGTACAGCCTGGGCTACAGAGTGTGACCCTATCTCATAAAACCAAATGGGGAAAAAAAAAAGCCAGTCCCTGTTAGCCAAGCACACCTGCTGCAGTATGAGCAGGGGTCAATAGGGCAAGGCTGGAGGTCATTTTGCTGTCCTCAGCCACAGGCAGGAAGGCGCCTGGGAGAAGAGACTGGATGGGAGCACAGAAGCTGTGAGGAGTGGGTGGCAGAAGCTGGAGTCTCTTTTGGGGCTCTGCCACTACAGAGAGAGGCAGGACCCCAGACACAGGACACTTGGAGCAGAGGAGGCTGGGGCCCAAAGGCCCAAGCCATCCCTTAACCCTTTCCACACCAAAATCAGGCTCTCTTGGCATCAGGTCTCTCTCAGTCACCACAGCCCACTCTATCACATGCTCCTCCCACCTACTGCCGGGGAAGAAGACTGGAACCTTCTAACAGATGCCACCAAGGAGGGCTGTACATGAACGAGGGGAGTAGATCCAGGGGCACCCTTCCCCATCAGGCATCAGGGGATGCTAGGGACACAGGAAGCTCAAGGCCATGCTGTGAGGCTGCTGCTGCAGGCAGGTGGTGCAGGGTATCAGATCCCATCCCCTGCAAAGGCAACCCTCTGCTCCCTCTTCCAGCAGGAAGGATGGCTCTCTATCCTCAGCAGTCCCTCTTGCCACCCAGCACCAGGTCCATGCCACGATGGACCTGTGGTGGCCCACCAGCACACAGAAGGCTGCAGACACAGGCCACTGTGGTGTGGTTCTTCAGAGGCAGGAGGACAGTAAATATGGCCCCTCTCATCACCTTTCCAAAACAAGAAGTGAATGATCACCCTGCCAGCTGGGAGCAGGAAGAGACATGGAGGGGGTGGGTCCCAGGCTGAGTCTGCGAGTATAGGACCAACCAGCCTCACCTAGACAGGGGCTCTGCCAAGGAGGACCCTCCATTCAACTGCCCACTTGTCTGCCTGCACCCACCACAACTGGTACTTCTTGTGCATGTCTACCACATAGGTGCCACCAGGATAGAAAGCACCTCCTGTCTTACCACAGCAGAACACCACTCTCATCGCATCCTGCTTGGCCATGCCCAGCATGGGCAGCATGGTACTCAGGATGGAAGGCAGGAAGGGGACCATGCCGAATGCTGCAAAAGAAGGGCCATCAAAGGGATCTCAGGTCTCCAGGTCTGGGCAACCCCCACCCTCCTCAGGACAGAGAAGAGCCCACAGATCCCCCACTGCATGGCCTCAGGAATCTGCTGACTTGAACAGGTAGGAGAGCTACTGAGACCCAGAACTCCAAAAGCCCTCAAACCTACTCAGGAACAGAGAGACCCAGTCTGAAATGGCACCTACCATTGGATATAGACAGGCTAGCAAGTGTCTCCACCACTGAACAGTGTGGTAGAATTCCAGGCTGGAACTTGCTGAGCACCTCCTCCATCACCTGGTTGACAAACCGCTTTCCCACGGCCACCAGGACATTGCTTGCAGCCCGCTGCCAGTCACACCCTAGTTCCTGCACCCCAAAGAATCACAGAGTAGACCTTTCCCTAGATCCTCCCAAGACACACCAGCAAGACATTCTCCATTTGGCAGTGGCTGGACAAGGACAAGCTGCCCTGTTCCAGGGTCCCCAGTGAATACAGGTCAGAGAGGCCACACAGTATGGCCTCCTCTCGGGGGAGAGGTCAGATGTCCCCAAACCCACATGCAGCCCTTGGCCCAAGCCAAGTGCCCACCACTTGTTCTGAGAGTTTATGAATATTGTCTCTCTGCTTCTGTCTCTGCAAACTAAGAGTGGCCATTCCCACCCACTGAAACTGCCCAGGACCACAGGGCCTCTGCCACCCAGACACAAGCCCCATTCCCAAAGCTACCCTCCCAGACCCACACCTTTGTCTTGGTCATCTCACTGGAGGCCAGGAAGATGACAATGTTGGCTGTGTCCTTGTCCAGCTCGTGGATATGACTGTTCAGGACTGTCTCCATAGCTCTCAGGACCATTGCACGGTATGGATGTGCCAGCTGAGGAAAGAAGCCACCAGGGAAGGTCTTGGGGGGAGAGCACGTGATCAAGTACTCAGCATCCTCTCATTTTCTCTACACTGTGCAAGTCCATGCCTGCCTTGAACACAGAGGGGCAACCTGGCCATTCTCTGAGCCCTTGGAACTTACATAAGTACCTGTGCATCTTTAGAAGGGCAGAGGAGAGACTTCTGTAGAAGGCAAGTAACAAGCAAAGGAGCTGGTGGCCTTCTGCCCTCCAAATGTGGCCAGCAGAGTCTCCTGATCAGGAGAAGCTCTGGGGACCTCTCCTCCTCCCTGCCCAGACCTCTAAGGTCCACGAGAAATGCCTTTCCTCTGTCAAATTTCTCTACAGTCAGGTATATGTTTGCCTCCCACAGCCCTTCCTAAGGTTATACACCATGATCAAGTCAGACACCACTATCACTCCCCTGAGCCTCTTCAGTCATGATCCCATGCTCTTTCCACTGTCCTGGGGTCCTGAGGACTTGGCTGCCATACAGTCCTACCTCCCATCATCTCCCCCCACCCAGGCAGTTCTCAGGTCACCTTCCCCTCAACTGAAAGCTAGCCCCATGCTGGAAGGCTGGGGCCAATGGTGTGCATAGCACATTAGCTACTGCCCAGGCCCATAAAAAGAACCGTGGGCAAGCTGCCAGTGAAGGCTCCCAGCTGTCTTGGGTGAGATCTTCTCCCCCAGTGATGTACCCACTGAGAGCAACCTGCACTGGGCAGCACAGGCTCCAGGAGGGGAAGGGGCAGGACAAGCCAATGCCCCACTGGTCAATTGGGGCCAGTGATGTTGCACCACCCCACTAATGCCACCTGCTAGCTCATCCACAGCCATTCCACCCATCGTGGCAGAAGAGGGGGCAGGTATACCAATTGTAGGTGGATGTGTCAACACGGCCCCAGGTGGGACAAATGGTACAGCTCAGTGAAGAAAGCCACACACACCACCAAGGTCCCCTGGCCCAAGACCAGAAATGGCTGCCAGGGTCTGCTGCTCAAGATGCATACAATCACCCGTTGTCCCTGGTATGGCATTGGATAGGATTTTCCTTCTTGAAAGCAGCCAAGATAGATCACAAACAGCCCCAGGGACAGGAAACTTGGTGGTTTTCCAGGGAAGAGCTTCTCCCATGAAGCTCTTTTGTTTTCAACATGAGATTTTTCATCTTAGTATGTAGGTGCCCCAGCAGTACGAGTAGACCTACGCTGGGGTGGTAGGTGAGGGGAACAGTTACACCATGCCTGTCTGGTTCACACGTCCCTCTCCTTGAGGGCCTCTCCAGGTGGCCTGCATTTAAGTTCTAAATTAGATAATAAGTTGTTACTTCTGGTTCTGACCGTCTGGACGCTCTTCCCGGATGGAGCAGTATTCTAGCACTGCTCACCACAGTGCAACCGGCCAGCCCCAGGGGCCAGTGAAGTAGATGAGTTCTGTGAACAGAGAATCTGGGACCTACAGAAAGTTGTGCTTTCTGAAAAACATCACAGGGACCTAAATTTTAAAAATCGGATATACATTACTTCTATTCTGAGGATTGGTTTGAACTTTATCCTATGGTGACCACCCTGTCACTGCCCTTTGACTCTCTATGATTAGATTCCTCAGCATGGCATGGCATGGCTCCTCTTCTCATGGGAAGACAAGTGTGGTGAAAGGCTGGAAATACAGGGCATGACTCACATCTGGAAAGAACAAAAATGTCCTGGTGGATCATTCCTAGTTGCTCATTTTCTATTGCTCTGGAAAGCACCATAGGCAGCACAGCCCAGCAGGGATGGCAGTGAATGGCTAGCCCTCCCAGGACTCTACATCAGGCCCCACCAGTGCTATGCTGAGTGAGGTGACCACAGTCTAGAGGGGCTGAGGTGGGATGCTGACCATGTCTACCTCATACTGCCAGAGGCACAGGGCAGAAGGACAGGCACAGTTGGCTCACAGTAAGATTCTGGCTCAATGGTTTTCAGGTTGGCAGGTCACCAAGAAGCCACTTCTGCCCTTTCCCTAGACCTGACCAAGCCTGCTAAGGGGCTCAGCTGATGACTACACAATTTATAAACATGACCTTTACAAGTGACTCAACAATCACAAGGTGGCCACATTGTCTTCCTGCATACAAGGATATCAGGGCACTCCTCAGGCCATGAACTAGAGTGTGCAAAGGCAACAGTAGGCAATGGTAACACTAGGATGGGGGAGAAAAGACCAAGACAGGATTAAAGGGTTGGGACTTTCAGTTCCACCCCCAGCCTCCAGGAAGGTTGAGCTGATTGTCAACAGTCTCCATGGTATAATCAATCATGTCCACATAGCAAAGCCTCCAAAAACCTCAAACAACACTTCAAGCTTCTAGGTTGCTGGAGGGTGGCACACCCAGGGAGGGCATGAGAGCTGCATGCACTACCACATGCCTTGCCTTCTGGGTCTCACAATCTGTTGTTCACTGGTATGTATCCTCTATCATGTCCTTAATAATAAATAGTAAAATGTAAGTGAAGTGTTTCCTGAGTTCTGTGAGCTGCCATAGCAAATTAATAGAATATAAAGTGTGGGAACCCCAGTTTGTCAAAAGCAAAGGCCACAACCAGAAGTTTGCTACTACGGTCCAAAACAGGGTAGTCGGGGACTGAGCCCTAACCTGTGAGCTCTGATGTTGCCTCCAAAATGGAATTGAATTCGAGGACGCCCAGATGGTGTCCACTGTAGGACTGCTTGCTTGCATTTGCTCAAAGACATGTGCTGTGTTACAAAAGTATAGGAGGGAGACTGAGGTGGTTTTTATCTCTGTATCTAACAGGATAACCTAGGACCATAGTAAAGTATCATTTATGTTTTGATGTGGGGCTCCAACGTCCCTTATATGCTCTTAGAATCAATGCCATTTCTAGCTGGGTTCACGTGGGTAACACTGTGCGGCTGGCCTCCACTCTGGGGTGTGGCTGCTATCAGCCTTGCACATAGTGACCCTGGCCCACGCAACCTGTGTGTGAAGTACAAGTACCACACACTGCCCAGCAGCTAGTGAGAACTCCTTGACTTAGGATGGGACTCCAGAGAGGCTAGAAATCAGATAGAAGAGTTAGAAGTTGAAGGTAGTGGGAAGGAGGGAGGGAGGGAAAAAAATTCAGTAACTTTGAAAACTCAGTTTTAATATTTTTGTTTCTCCTCTCCCTTTCCTCATGGCCTGAGTACCCAGAGAATGAGTTTATGTGTCCTGTGCTTGACCGTGGCTGATGTGTATCAGACTGGATATGTCCAAAATAGAGCAGCAGAGCACACCCCAGTGGCCTCTGCACTGGGCCGGGGAGTGCAGCTCAGTGGGACAGCATTTGCCCAGCTAGTCTTAGTTCCTGAGTTCCATTCCCAGCACCACAAACACACAGACATCAAACAGGAGCTAATATCCCTAGATAGTGTGTATATCCCAAAATACAGACTGGCATCTGGTGGCTAAAGAGTGCAGCATAACTTTCCTTTGTTGCCCCATTATTTGCAGAGATTCAATGGGATCTGAGATGTGCTAAATGAGATGCAACCAGATAAAGAGTAATGGTGAAGAAACACAGTGAAGGGCAATAGCTGGCCCAGCCTTCCTGAAATAGTGTGTAGGAGCCAGAAAAAGGCCATCCCCCATAGGGTCAGGACCAGAGCTCCCATCTCAACCGAGTAACTAACCATGCAATGAGAAAGGAGACTCTTTTTTATGTGGTAAAAACAATGAACGTGGCGATGCGTTAGCTGCTATGAAGCCACAGCTCTCTTCACCCTCTGCACCCTGACCACCCTCATCTTTTGTCCAGCAATTAGATAGTGACATCGGAGCATCACAGCAGCAGCCTTTCAGCCACACAGAGAAGGGTCCCAGCCAGCACCAGCTAATTATTTGCCTGGGCAAATAGCGTAAGAGACTCCATCTCCAAAATAACCACAGCAAAACAGACTGGAGGTATGTCTCAAGTGGTAGAGCGCCTGCTTTGCAAGCGCAAGGCCCTGAGTTCAAACCCCAGTCCTGCCAAAAAGAGAGAAAGAGAGAAAGAGAGAGAGAGAGAGAGATACAGTGTATAGAAGTCCTTTGTACATATCAAAATATCAAACAAAGTAAGTCTTCTGAGACTACAAAACCATTCACTGAGGAAAACTAGAAAAGGTGCACGATAATTTCAGGCAACAGAGAGCCAGAGCAGTGAGCAGTCATAGAGAATCTCTCTGTCAAGGCCTAAGAGAGGTAGACAGCCTATAAGGTAGCCAGACGTGATAGTGCATGCCTATAACCCTAGCTCTAGGGAGGCTGAGGCAGGAGGATCATAAGTTTGAGGCCACCCTGGGCTACAAAGAGACCATCTCAAAACAACAAAAATAAAACAAAAAAGAAGGCCTCTGAGGTAAGAGTGGCTCAGGCCAGTGACCTGACATCTTGAAGGGCCAAATTGAATTTCCAAGTCTCTCAGGGCTCTGCTAAGTTATCCATGTTTGCATGAGGGATAGGATATTCCAAGGCAGCACAGGAACCTGTCCCCTTCTGAGAACAGGTGTTGGTAGGGGAGGGAGGGTGGACTTGCAGCATCCACATCTACACCAGCCCTGTTTGATAGGGAAGGCAGGGCCAGGACACTATTAAACCAAACCCTCATCAGATCCTCCTGGGCACTCAAGCTGCTGAAACTCAGAAAGCACCTTTGCTCCCTGCCACCTTCTGGCAGGGAGAGCTGCCCTATCTCCATTCAGTGGGTAAAAAGGATAGCAAATGGCCTCTACTCACAAGCACTGATTGCTACAGTGACAGCCCAGTCCCCCTCACAATAGGCCCACCAGTTTGTGGGGGATGCAACCACATGCCATATGAGAGGAGATAAAGTTGCCATTATCCTGAAACACCCAAGAGAGTATAGGCTGGCGCTTTCTGCTGAAAGCCTGGGTCAGCACTCAACTTCCTGTTCCTCACCAGTCATCTCTTCCCAAACCTGACAGCCCAGATGAGGGTGCTTGCCACTAAGGACAGAGGTACCTTGTCATGCTGCCGCAGGTACTTCTCACAGGCACAGAGCATTTCCTCTGGCCGCGCCTCTCCGAGGGAGCACAGAGCACTGCAGACCTGCTCCTGCACCGCAGGGTCCTTGTCAGGGATAGCATCCAGCAGGGTGAAGGACAGCTCTGCAATGACAAAACCCAGTCAGTGTGCTCCAGCCTGAGAGGCCTCCCTGACACACCATATTCACCAATCCTGCAGCTAACACCCATCAGCCTCTAGGGATCACAGACAGCAAAGGAGATGGTCCATTCCCATACTACCACCACCAGCCTGATGCTGCAGAACACAAAAGGCCTGGTCAACCTGTACAGTGGCCAGGCCTGCTGGCCCCATCATCTTGACCCGCAGCTGCCCTCTCTTGTGGGATCCCCTCCATCCAAGTCAGAAGCATTAAGCAGGCAGACTGCAGGGCTATGGGGTGCAGGGCCCAGACTCAGGAAGCCACTGAGAAGCTGAAGGCCTAGGATATACAAATTATGCTGCCAGAGCCATGAGTCAGAGGACATGGTCCACCTCCTGTGTGAACACTCATGAGGCTGTTCCAGTCATTACCAAGAGGCCTGGGCTTCCACAAGAGCCATCAGGTCATCCCCTACCAGGCTCAGCCAGACCAGCTCCACAAAGAACCCATATAGACATGCTTCTTTGGGGAAGTTCCCTGAGGTTCTGAGCAGCCAGACAGATTGGATTCTTCACAATCCATCTCCTATACATAGTGCTTGGACAGGCAGAGGGACAGGGACACTAGCAGTGAGCAGTGAATGAAAGGATGAAACCACGGTCCCTGTCCCACAGCACTCTACCCAGCAAAACAAGATATGAACTGAATAATCAGTGAATGAACATGGTGCTCGTGGTCAAGGCCAGTGGCTACCAGCCCCTGCAGTTAGTCAAGGGCAGGCCAGACATCTGGGAGACATGTGCCCACACATAGCTCCCCCCTCCTCCAGCACTCTCCTGGCTGGGACAGGAATATCCCAAAACTTCTGCTCTACCAGGCACTGTGTTCCACATGGCCAGTGAGGACATCCCTCAAGGCATCTGCCATGGTGATAGGACAGACAGGCATCAGAGCACAATGCATCTCCCCTCAGGATGGGATCCCTTCCTGAGCAGGTAGGTAGACTTTTTTAACAGCCCTCCCTTTCCATGGTTCTCAATAGTTAAACAAACAGGCAGATCCAATTAATAAGATTTGATTGTATGTAAGGCCAAATTCAACCCAGTAAACCAAACCTGGTTTTCTGATTACATCTGCACCTGCTCTCCAATTGTGGACTTCACAGGAGCCTTCCATGTGTATTGGATGGCAGGTGTGTGTGCACCTCCCTCCCTCATCCTGACCTCTTGTCTCCCTGCCCTGCCTTTGTTAGGCCCCCGGGCCCTACCCGTACCCCGATTCTTCTTCACTGCCCCATCTCCACCCATCAATGCCCCTGCTCTTCAGGCCTCCAACATCACCAAGCTCAGGGCACAGCACCGAGAGTGGCACTCAGAGGCCCAAGGCATGCACGCCACATTTCTGGATGCATGTGCATGTCTGAGTCCCTACACCTGCCGATCAAGCACCATGGGAGCCTGGGTTGTCCCAACAGCTGAAGGGTAGAATTTAACTAGCCACCCGCCTCAGTGCCTCCTAAACTCACTCTTCACATAGGACTCAGTCATTTCTGTGGTCTTAGCTTCCGTTTGCCTGGTATGAACATGTACAGCTTCCTCTCCAACCTGGAATGACAAGAACACAAGCTTTAATTCATAAAGCTTCCACAATACCTAGTTCAAAGTAGTTACTATATTGGTGCAAAATACACAACTTAAATGAATCTTTCCTGCCATAGCTGACTGAGCCATTTAGGGAAGGAGGAAGGCTCTGTAATACCTAAAATCCAGCCCCTTCCATCCCTGAGCTTGCAGCTCACCAGCAAGGCATCAGTCTACACTGTCTCCAGGGTCATGTGGTGAGGCTTCACCACTCTGAGTCCTGGCAAGCATGGCTGCTCCTTCACTTAAAGCAACTTTCTCTTCACCTCAAGGAAATGAGCAGGCAGCTTCGTGGCTCTCAAACATCATGTACCTTGAAGCACCACTTGCATAAATAGTCCCAGAGAATAAAGCTCCTTGAATATACAAGGCCTTCTGTCTGTTCACTACGTGGTGTCACACTCAAGTCCTATCCATATTCTCCAAGAACCTGGAAGATCAGAGAGGCCATGGGCCCACCTTCAGCATGACAGCCAGCTTCACTCTAATGTCTATGCCCTTTATTCTCTTGTTATTCCACCAGTCCCTTCATCCTCTTGATCACCTCCTACCCATCACTCTTTCCTAACAACTTATTCCATGAGAAGAGATGCCATGATCCACCCCTGACCAGGTAGGACATCTCACAGGACATCCCTCTGTGCACACACAGGAAGGAGAAGTGAGAAATTACATCAGTCTTGGCAGGTGGAAGAATTAAAAAAAAAAGTGAGAATTCAGTTCAAGAAGGTAGGCTGATCCCAAGTATTCACCCACCCCACCAAACTCCAAGAAAATGACAAAAGAGATGCATATTTTAAAAGAATAAACTGGTAAGAGCAGAAAAGATAAAGTTAACAGACCAGAAGCTCCCAGGGACCCTGGAAGACAGAAGGCAGACAGAGTGCTCTGGCTTGACGATGGTAGCATCAATGCAGCGTTGCCCCTTTCACCCTGGAAAGCATCTAAAAAGTGCAGTGGCTGTCAGGCAGGGCATGGGATGTATGGGACGGACCCCTGAGAGCCCGTACAACACTCTTCGCAAAGGCAAGGACACAGCTGTGTGGAATCTGAAGTCCCAAGTCCCTCGCCTAGGCTGAGTCTATGAAACACAGGGCAGGGACAGATACTTTGGTCTGGGAATGCCTCTGACTCCATCCAGATGCAAAGGAAAATCCAACCTCCCCCCAGGAGCACTTCTCACACATGTGGAGCAGTGGCCCTCACTCAGCTCAAACAGAAGCAAAAGAAAATGAACAAGCACCAGGAGTCGTCTGCCCCCAGCCTAGATGAGAGTGACAGAGACCAACTTACCCTCCTGACCAGACCCAAAAAACTGGACAAAACATATTAAATTGCAGTTGTCAGGTGCTGGACATCAGAAAACGAAGGTCAGTAGGCCCTGAGAGGCAGGAAAGCAAGCCTTGCAACTGTCCCAGCACACTGCTTAGAGACAGCATACAGGCTTTGAAGCCTCAAAACAGCTCAAGAGAGGCTGGGCAAACACCTAAGTTGAAGAGACAAAATCAAGAGGGCTGGTGGACTCCAAGGAAGTTGGTTTCCAGGCTCTAGTCCAGAGAGAGCTGCCTAGTGGTATAGCTTTATAAATGTCCCCCAAAGGTCCCCAAGGTGGGAAGGTTGGGAGGTGGTGGGACTTGTAGGAGGTAGGGTCTTAGGGCACTGGGGGTGTGCATCCAAAGGGGGTTGTAAGACCCAAGCCCCTTCCTCTCCCTCTTTTGCTTCCTGGCTCCAAAGTGAGTGGTTTTCTTCAGCTACATGTTCCCCACCATTTCTGTTGAGCAACCCCGCCAGAGTCCTAAAAGCAATGGGTGTGCCTGACCATGGACTGGAACCTTTAAACCCATTAGCCAAAATAATTTTTTTCTTTTTTTTTTTTGCAGTAATGGGGTTTGAGCTCAGGGTTTACACCTTGAGGCACTCCACCAGCCCTTTTTTTTGTGATGGGTTTTTTTGAGACAGGGTCTCTAGAACTATTTGCCCAAGCTGGCCTCAAACCATGATCCTCCTGATCTCTGTCTCCTGAGTATCTAGGATTACAGGTGTGAGCCGCTGGTGCGCAGCTCCTTTTTGTCTTTATAAGTTAACTATTCCAGGTGTTTTATTTTGTATTGGAAAGTTGACTACACACCCAGAGAGAGATCTGGAAACCTGCAGAGGGTCCTCGAGGCACTAAGTAAGTTTCTAATCAGTGCCGGGATAGCAGAGTAGTGGCCCCAAAGACACCCACACCCTAATGCACAGAATCTATGAACATATTCTCTTATGTGGCAAAGGGAGTTAGCAGATGAGATTAAGGGCAAAGACTTTGAAATGAGATTATTCTGTTTTATGGGGTGAGATCAACCTGATCATATGAGTCCTTAAAAGCAGAAAACTTTTCCCAGCTAGGTCAGACAGAAGAGACAGAAGAGGGAGAAGAAATTCATGATCATGAGACTCAACCCACCACTGTGGCTTTGGAGAAAGGAGGGTGAGAGAGACAGGGAACGTGGGTGGCTACAGAAGACTAGCATGGACCTCAGCTCATAGAGGGAAAGTAAATAAGGACTTCATCCTACAGATGCAAAGAACCACAATCTACCAACAATCTGAAAACAGGAAACAGATCTAGAGCCGCCAGAAAGGAATACAGCCCAACCCACACCTGGATTTTAGCCCAATGAGATCCATGCTTAAAGAACTTTAAGTTAATAAATTTGTGTTATTTAAAACTTCTGAGTAATTTGTTATAGCAACATTATAAAATTAGTACTGGTGGAGTGGTTCAAGTGGTAGAGTACTTGCCTAACAAGCTCAAGGCCCTGAGTTCAAGCTCCAATACCAAAATAAATCATTACTTTTAAAAGAAAACTAATACAAGTGCTTTATGTAGAGGAAACTACTCGTGGCTGGGGAAAGCCACTCAAAAAAGATTAGTCGAAATGACATCTGGGAGTGGAAAGCACCATAACCCACAGAGCAGCAATGGGGTGCTCAGAAGGGTTTGCCTCAGTAATGAGATAAATTTAGTCCTAGACTAAATGGTATTCTGGTCTTCTAATCTAAAAAACAAAAAACAAAGAAGAGTAAAACCTGAAAGTAGAAGCTGGCGGAGTGGCTCAAGTGGTAGAATGCCTGCCTAGCAAGCACCAGGCCCTTAGATCATCAGCCCCCTAGTACCACAAAAAAAAAAAAAGAAAGAAAGAAACCTGAAAGCATCAAACTGTTTCTAAATAACTTAGCCACAAAGCTCAAGAATGAAGTCAGGAGCACAAAAATATCCTGAACCAACAAGATAAAATAACAATGGTATCCAACCAAAACTTACAGGAACACAAAACAAAACCTTAGTGAAGATGAACCAGTCAATACAAGTTGACTTGGAAATGACACAAAGGAAAGAATTAGTGGGCAAGGAAACGTGGACAGTTACTATACAGTTACTATAGTAACTGTACAGTTACTATACAGTTACTATAGTAACTGTACAGTTACTATACAGTTACTATAACTGTACTTCACATCTTTGAGAGACTGAACATACTAACAAAAGAGGTCAAGAGTAAAAGTCAAAAAAATAAAAAATAAAAAAGAGTAAACAGCAAAGGCCAAACTATTCATAAGAAAGCTGAGGTGAAGACAAAATAGATTTCAGACACATAACAATCTCGAATATTTATGCACCTACTAACAGAACTTCAAAATATACAAAGCAAGGCACTGGTAGCTCACTCCTGTAGTCCTACCTACTCAGGAGGCACAGATCAGGAGGATCAAGGTTCAAGTCCAGTCTGGCAAATAGTTCACAAGACCCTATCTCAAAAATACTCAACACAAAAAAAGGACTTGTTAGAGTGGCTCAAGTGGTAGAGCACATGACCAGCAAGCATGAAACCTTGAGATAAAACCTCAGCACCACATATATACATATATGTGTATATACATATATGCACATATATACAAAGCAAAAACTAATAACTACACAAAGACAAACAGATAAATCCAAATTAAAGATTTAAACATCCCTCTCTTGGGCTGGGTATGGCTCAAGTGGTAGAGCATGTGGCTCTGGAGTTCAAGCCCCAGTACCACCAAAAACCCCCAAATAAATAAACAAGCATCCCTCTATGATTGATGGAACAAATGGAAGAAAATTAGTAAGAATATAGATGTGAACCATACTATCAATCAAATTGACCTAAGCAGAAGTCATAGAGTACTCCAACAATAGTAGGAACACTAGTATATATATGCTTTTTAAATTTATGTTTATTTCTTCTTTTTTTTTATTTTTTTGAGATAGAGTCTCACTATATAGCCCACTCTGGCTTTGAATTCACAATTCTCCTGCCTTAGTTTCCCGAGTGCTGGATTACAAGCGTCACCACCCAACTAGGATATACATATTATTTTTAAAAGCGTATGGAAATTACCAACACTGACCATATTCTGGGCAATGCAACAAAGTCTCAATAAGCATCAAAGAATTGAGGACATACAAAGTAGGCGCTCTGACCACAATAGAACTAAAAAAACCAATACAAGAAAGATGTCTGAGAAATCCCTAAGTATTTTAGAAACTACTTAATATGCCTTGAAATAATGGAGGGATAATAAAAAAGTATCAAAAATGAAATTAAAAATCATATTGAAATGAATAAAAATGAAAAGACATAAAAACGTGGCAGTTTATAGCACTTAATGTCTATGTTAGAAAAGGAATGATTTCAATTTCTTTCTTAAGAAACTGGAGCCAGGTGCCAGGCTCACACCTATAATCCCAGCTACTTAGGAGGCAGAGATAAAGAGGATAGTGGTCTGAAGTCAGCCCTAGGCAAATAGTTCTCAAGACCCTATCTCGAAAATACATAACACAAAACAGCTGGCAAAGTGGCTCAAGTGGTAGAACACCCCGCCTCGCAAGCATAAGGCCCTGACTTCAAACACCGCTACCACCAAAAAAAAAAAAAAAAAAAAGAAAGAAA